CAAAATGAAACGATCACACAAGCAGAAACCACTGCACTGTACCTTCCCATCTGGCTGTTTCTTGCTAGCAGATATCTCCTTCACCATCTTGGGAATTTGCCTGTTGTAGGGAAAACAAAAATGTTAAGATGAGTGTTCTGACAACAAGAAGAAGATATTGCCATACTTCTGGTTTCGCACACTTACGCTGAAACCTCTGCGATGTGCTGGTGCCTCAGCTTCACCCAGAGCATATCATCCTCATTCAGCAGGGCCTGCTTCTCTAAGCCGTCTCTAGCCTTGTACCTGGACACAAAATGACCCAGAATAGCAGTATCTAGTTTCTCATGAGCACAAAAGTATGAAGCAGTAAGCAGATTGTACACATATATCTCTATATCTATCTCTCTATATAAAATACAGGAAGTAGACTGCATTACTTATAGGTATCGTTTTCTATATCAATGAGATCGTAGGCCATGGCCTGGTAGGTCAGCTCGTGCAGGATGGGGGTCACAGGATCAAAGCCTCTGTCGACTATCAGCAACTGGGCTTGGGTCTTCTCCTGGTGATGTAGGGGGGGAAAAAAGTTATATATTATTAAATTATATATTAAAACTGGGATAATTCACTGCCACAGAGCAAGCTGTCCAAACTTTTGCCTTTTCAAATTTATAGTAAAGGGAACTGTTTAATGTGCTTGAGGCAAAGGAGGGATTATTTTATTCTTTCATGTGATAAACAATACAGTATTTTCAAATTCCCATTTACTCCCAGGGCTACGACCTTGTTTATCCTGAAACCATCCTTTGTTCGGCAGGCCTCTCACCTTTTTCTTGCCACTGTCATCCAGCTGGTAGTGTGTGTCCAACTTCCGGTCCACCAGCTCTGCAAGGAGTTTGGCATTCTCCATGTTGCCGTCTCTAGTTATGATATAAATGTGGTTTCCGTCAGTCAAGTGAACGTTGAGGTCAAGGTTAATCCAGTAGTTATAAAACACAAAACTGTATTTTCTGTAAATAACAGCTGCACTCTGCTCTTTACATATCTTTACACTCTTACTTTCATCAGTCTGAATAGGATCAGTGCTGCTGTGAGCGAGTAACCTCACTTGCTCAACTACCATGTGATTCTTTCTACACAAAGCTATTTCTTTGAACAGTGAACGTTATAAGATATATGTCTACTATATTCACTCGGAACAAACACATTCTAAAACCAGTCTGTTCAAAGAAACAAGCGATACCAACGCTTTGTTTTCAAGCCCAGCATTATTCCTGCCATTAATACGGAAACTATTCTGACTTTTTCTCGTAAAAAGTTTCACTCTGCTTGGGGGCTCGGGTGTATTGTAACCTAAGACACTACATGTTGTCTGACTTACTTCTTGTATCGGATCCCTGGGTACTCGTCTAATGTGGCACAGAGTGTAACGAGCTGGTCTGCCAGTGTCTCCAGTGTCTTCGTTTTGTCCTGACTCTTGGGGCTGTAGATGCTTCGGAAAGCCCCGGGATTATCGCAGGTGAAAACCTTCAAAGTATTTAACACCACAGTGTAAACCACAGCTGTCATCATTAAAGTTCCAGAAGATACAAACTGAGCACAAGGACCATTTTTAATTTCTCATTGTTTCCTGAACTCGAGGCTATAATACATTAAGCACCTGCTTGTGTGTTTCTTTGTCTGATCACATCTCCTAGATAATCAGCAGATGAGCAATCAAACCTGGTACACAGATATATCGTAAAGGTTCTCATCTATATCAGAAATTATGACACCATTGTGTTTCCTAACATCCGCCTAGTAACAGGCTAAAGTGACCCATTTTCAGAATATATGCACATATACCACCTTTTACTTCAATGACAACATCTAATTCACATCAACATACGATGAATTACACATGATACGATGGCAGCATGTTGCCTGCCAAACACGAAGCAAGTGGCTAATAAACAAACAAACCCCGTTTTAAGCCTTTGTGAACCTACAACACCTGGTGAAAGTAACAACTCATATCTGCAAAAGCTGAATTCACCAGTGTTTTCTTTCGCTCACTGCAGCAAGACAATGCCAGTAACGCGTATACAACAGTAGTTTTCTGTTTCTGCAACTATCCCACCTGCAGCCAAAACACATTGAGAACACACAGTGAATTATAAACGGGAAAGGTTGACAACGTAGCCGCTGAAATGCTATAGCAAGGAAAAATGTGAAGCTACAGGATTTACTCTCTTTAGGACTTCAAGAAACACCCTACACAAGGCAAATTCCCTTCCTTCAACAACACTTGCACAGCCTGCATGCGTGCCTGCCAACTGAGGGAAATTTTGACAAAAAGAGGAAATGGACTATTACAAAATAAACTAAAAAAAAAGAACACTTGGTTAAATTTTAAACACTTACTTGTGCTTCCTGAGGCATGAAAGAGATGTTTATTTCCTTGCAGACCCTTATGTGTTTTCCACAGGCTTGCCTCATTTTGTTGAACAGGTCATCAGGGCAGTCTGCAGATCAAAAAAGCTTTCAGTGCCCACTTTGATCGTAAAAGGTATATCTGCTATTTGGCTGATGAAGCAGATTTAAGCACCAACACAGGAGTTACCTACAGTCAGTGAAATAGACGTACGCAGCTTTGTATTTGGGTTTGGGCTTGAAATCCTTTATAAAGGCATCCACACACTATGAAAAAAAAATAGATTTAAGAACTCACAGAGTTTGGCAGTGATATGTTAAAAAAATGAAAATGAAAAAGTTTTAACAGCAAACCTTAGCAGTAGGTGTCATAAAGTAAATGGCCTTCATTTCGAGAACAGGCTCTCTGCTTTTGAACAGGTCCTCCACAACTAGAAACAGAATACTAGTAGTCAAAAGTAGCTAAAGACATACACGCACAAATTATCTTTGATCAAATAGCTTCGTGATGTAAAAATAAATAAAAGGACATCATTCCACCTACTTGTTATCTTCTCTGACATCAGGTCGGACATTTTGCAGCATGACGAGAGGAGCTTGGTGGTGAAAGGATCCAGAATCAATATCTGTGAAGAAGACAACGTGAAAATGCTCCTTTAATTATGCGTTAAACAGTAATATACTCCCATGCTATGCAGCACCACATATCGAGACAAAGCGTATGAGTGAGAATCAATCATATCAAAGCTGAATCTGTAACTCGGAGCTTGTCCATTTATCCAAGTACAATCCTGGGACTCTGTACTGAGCACATGGTGGGTTTCTTACCTTCCATACTTCAGAGTTTCTGCAGTCTGTAATAATTGTGTCCTGTATTCCTGTAAGGAGCACATAACATGACAACATGTAAACACAACAATAATCTGAAAACAAATTATCGTTCATGATGTCACTGTTTAAGCTACCTCTTAGTTCAAGTGTGCAAAACAGAAAGTGATGTAATCAGAACTGCAAATATCCATTATCTCGCTACCTATGCATAAAATTAAAACATATTAGAACGTTTATAGCCTAATGTATAAAAGTTATGCAGTTGTGTTTCGTAATATTTCAGAGTCTTGGTACAATTGATTTTTCATGTGTGTTTGGGTCATACCACGTGAGCGTGAAAGGGTGTGGTACTAGTAGTTTTCTAGATAATGGAATTTTAAAACAGCTCCTCAAAAAAAAGTGCCAGAAAAACTCAGATCCCGTCACTTTTTTTTTTTTTTGTGAGATAACAGTGAGGTCCTGGAGTTTTACATATTTTATCTTAAGTTTAAGTAAACTTAAACTTAGTTGGGGGGGTTTCGGCAGTTTAAAAAAAATTGATTAATTAAGAAGGAATGACCTTTGAACCAACTAAAGTATTTACGTACTGCCAAGGTTATGTCAGCTTTCATGAGTGGAGTATTAAGAACAAAGGCTATTTCTGTCTAACTCTGTTACTTGATTATTAGCCTGCTATTGTGCAAACCTGAGTGATAGCACTCTCATTAATTTAGGGACAACTGTTCAGCGACTTTATGGTCATTTTGTAGCCTGTAGTGCGTAAACTTGAATCATCCATACATCTATCCCAGCTGTCACAGGGCGAAAGGTGGGGTACAGGTCACCAGTCTGACAGAGTTCTAACACATGTCAGCAGCAACAAAACTTCATTACCGCTGTTCTACTGGGCTGCATTAGTCTTAGCTGCTTGTTTGACCCTCATTTTAACGGCAACACAAACCAGCCTTCTTGGTGACATAACCTAACCACAGCCAACAAGAGGAATGCAAGACATCAGGATAAGGATACAAATAATACGCCAGGCTTGTAGCAATCCCGCTGCATAAACGAGGTGCGGTTGCAGACGTACAGTGACCTCACCCATGGCTACTCCTACAAACAAGTAGCCTAAAAAAGTCGTTATGTTCTGACCGGGCCAAGTGTTAGGTCAAGTTGCGTCTGCGGCTTTTTCCTCTATCGGTTCTACTGCGTTTCGTAAATTTGTAATTTTCCGCTCAAAGGGAACAGCTGAATGAAAATGTTCGCTGTTATTCCAAAAGCTAAAGTCGCGCAGGAAGAGGTTAGCTAAAACAGCTCACAGTTCACGTGCTAAACAAACGCCGTTGTGCTATTTTTCAAGAGCAGGAAATACTCTCCTGTTGGAGTAAACTTACTTTTCCAAACTATTCTTTTCAGCCCGTGATCTGAACCCGTTGCCATCTTGTTTTTTTTCCCCACTGCGCCGCTTCCCTTCGAGAAATTCACGAAGACAAACTCTGACGTCATTCGCGTCACCAAGTGTGCGACAGTGAGCTGTAGTTTTTTAGTGATGAAGCGCACAAGACATCTATCTATCTATCTATCTATCTATCTATCTATCTATCTATCTATCTATCTATCTATCTATCTATCTATCTATCTATCTATCTATCTATCTA